CCATTTAAGTTTTGGGGCTTACTTAATAAAACAAAAGTGGGTTGTATTGCTTTAATGGACCATCAAAATCTGATGGTCTATTAAGGTTTGGTTAAGATAGAAAGGGGGTGCGTTTTTATAAATAAAAAAAGTTCATTTGGCCCATTAAGTTGTTTTCTGAGGCCCATTTAGAATAAACAAAAGGAGTGTGTTTTTAGTTGGGCTAGAGACTTTGTTAAGATTAGAGGCCCAGATCGGGTCATCTTTTTTTTGAAAGGCCGATTTTCTTTTTGGGACAGAGGCCTACCTGCGCTATACAACTTTGTTGTATTTGTTTTCGATAATTATTATTACTATTATTCAAAATGTTATTAATATTATTAATATTATTAATATTATTAATATTATTATTAATATTATTATTAATATTATTATTGATGTTATTTATATTTTTATTATTACTTTTGTGAGAGTATTGACTAAGTCAACACATGGGTTAAGAAACCCTAAGGCCAGCGGCGGAATTAGTGTTCTTCTTCCTCAATACAATAAACAAATCCAAGTCTAATTTCCAGAATCAAACAAAAAATTAAATCTTTTTCTGATTGATGAAATAAGTTTATTGACTAAAAACGAATTTATACAATAAATTGTCCAAGTACAAACCCTAATCTATTTTACAATCAAATCTCAATCAGATACTAATTGAATCAAATATCCAACATAATCAATACAAATCAATTTACAATCAAAAAACTAATTACAACCTAAAAACAAAATCAAATCTTCTCTAATCTAATCACAAAATTCTAAACTAAATCAAATTGTAACGACAAATCAAACATATTTTCCAAATCTATCTAAATATTAAACCTATATAAACCCTATGATCTAAAATATAAATGGACAACAAAAATTGGAGGATAGAAAAATATAACAGAGAAGAAGCAGACTCGGCGTGAGTTCTATCTTGCTTGAGATCTAGAGTTTCAATTTTTGAAACCCTAAGATATGTCCTCAAAGCTATCGTTGCACCATCATCTCACATACTTGTCAAATAGAAAAGAAGGAGAAGGAGATTAGAAGGGAGAATCAGAAAAGCAGAAAGGGACGAATACAAGAAGAATCACTGCAGGGGAGGTAAGCTAAATTCACTTAGCCTAAGGTTATATTTGTTTGAATCTACAATTTTTTTTTGGTTTTGAGTTTCTGGATTTCTAAGGGTTAGGGTTCATTAGGGTTCTTGTTAGGGTTAGGGTTCACCAGGTTTAGGGTTAGGGTTCTATCATTTGTGGTTTCTGGGTTTTGGTTTGATTAGGTTTCTTCACTAACCCTTAGGGTTCTTAGGGTTCATATGAACCCAGGTGGTGGTTTGGCTTGAAGGTGGCAACGTCTTGGAGCAGCTGCCAATGAAAGCAATTTCTAGCCAGTGGCGCCCAAGGCAGGGGCGAATTCTAGTGACGGAAATCTAAAGAGAAGTGGAAGCTTCTCTCTCTAACCTCCAATGATTGTTGTTTGGATTGTGTGAAGAGAGAGAATAGAAGAGTAAAAATGGGCCTCAAGCCCAAAAACTTGTTTTTATAACCACCCTCTGTTCCAGTGTAACACTCTTAGCATGCGTCCTCGCTCCCTACCCCTTTGATCATCATCAGATGTTCCTAAAGCGTGTATCCATCATAACTTGCAACACTCGCCCACACCTAGTCCAACAGGTCAAATATTTTTTTTGAGCCAAGCTCGTTCCAGTCGCACCCCCTGCTCAACTACAATTCATACCCCCATGCACTATTGGGTCTAGTTTAATATCTGAACTTGGGCTCTTGCTAAACCAACCCCCCATTTTTGCTACTACGTACTAACTTGCACCCCCTGCGTTTTAGGCCTAAATCCAATATCTAGATTTAGGGCCTTACTCTTCATACCCCCAACATTTTACTAACAAACTGAAAATACACCCCCTTGCTTAAATTAATTAAAATCATATTTTTTTACAATTTCTTTCTTTTTTATTTATTTTCTTATATTTTTATAATTAATATTTATTTTTATAATAAATTATAAATTTATTTATTTATTAATCCAAACCTTTTTTTACTAACCCATTCAAAAAAAATTTTAATTGCATTAAAATTATTTTTCCTCATGCATTAAAAATATTTTTTTCCATATATTAAGATATTTAAAAAACATCTAACCAATCAAATATTAACAATTTTCCACTAACTTAATTCAAACCTTATATCTATTTTCAAAAAGGATTATGGAGATATTTCTCATTAACTGCGAACTTCGTCTAACAACTTCGCAATTTATAAACTCAGACTTGGTTCAAGGATTAATTCTAGGTATCCTCATAATCTATAAAAAAACACAACCAACACTTTAAACTACGAATTGAGACTTTGATTCCTCATAAGAGGATACATAGGCATACCCGACTCAAAATCGTGGCAAGTTCCCCTAGTAAAAATTAAAACCCTATTTCCTAAATCATAAATCTAAACCCTAGTATCCTTGTGAACAAGGTAGATGAGGGGTGCCTAACACCTTCCCTTCGTATAAAAAACGAGTCAACAACTTAGAATCTCTGACCAAATTGGAGTTATCTGTTATATTCCCTTCCCTATCATGAAAATTAATGGTGGCGTCTCTCATTTTAAAATCAGTTATAACAGGGTGGTAGTGAGCAACAAAGCCAACCAGCAATTCAAAAAGATCCCGAGTTGATAGAGTTGCCGAAACACATGAAGTATGCCTTTTTAGGTGAGAAATTGTTGCAACCAGTGATCATCCGTAGCTCTTTGTTAACTCTAGAAGAAGAAAAGTTGTTTCATTTGTTAGGAGATTATAAGAAAGCACTTGGTTGGAGTGTGATTGATCTGAAAGCTATTAGCCCAGCTTACTACATGCACGTGATCAAATTGGAATAGGAATTCAAGTCGGTAGTTCAACCGCAAAGAATACGCAACCATACCATGAAAGAAGTGGTAAGAAAAGAGGTCCGGAAACTACTTGAAGTAGGTATGAGCTACCCTTTTCTGATAGCTCATGGGTAAGTCATGTGCATATAGTCCCTAAGAAGGGAGGTATGATCGTCGTTCAGAATGAAAAGAACGAGTTGATTCTGACTACGCAGTTACTGGATGGAGGATGTGTATGTATTATGAAATTTTGCTCATGGGGGGATAAATGTTGGACAAATTGTTAGAACAACTAGTCCAACTTGTTAAACCAGTATGACAACAACAATAACACAATGCAGAAAATAATAAAATAACACAAGAGATATGTAACCCAGTTCGGTGAAACTACACCTACAATTGGAGAGCAATCTACCAAAGAAAGGAAATTCACTACTTCGAATTAGTACAAGTCTTATAGGAACTTCAACCTCGTGATGTTAAATGCCTCTTCCTAATTATAATGACATTCTATTTAGGAATCCTCCTAAATATGAGAACCACTGTCACTATCCCCTAGTGAACAACTTCAATAATAACTCTATGGATTTTTGAATTTACAACTCAACTAAGATAAACCAACAATTATGCCAAGTTACTGAAACATAGAATGGTGTACAACAGTTAGATTCAACACTAATCCTTATTATGGCATTACGTAGAATATAAGAAACAAAATATTCAAAACCCTAGCACAGAGAACCTAGTCCTTGCGCATACAACTTGTCTTCAACCATGTGAATTGAGTCTCCTTTTATAGCAATGCCTTCTACGCTTTTCTCCTTGGATATATGAGTTAAATTCGTCCAGAATAATAGCTGAATATGTTGGATTTGATTTTCTCCATAAAACTCTCCAACAAAAGATATGATTGGTTATATTTCAAATTCAAGTTTAAATCTCCATTTAAATCTGATTTGGTCTTCTTTAGCTATCAAACAAATTACAGAAACATTGCTAAACAAATTTGATCGAATCTCAATCAGAAATTTTGCACCAGGCAACATCCATCATGGTCTGCTGTCCAAGGTCAGATGTTGTACTGCACACATATGTTGAAGCATTGTGTTCAACATATTTCACAAGTACATCTAAAGTAACTCTTCTCTCTGTATTGTAGATCTTCTTGTAGAGTGACTCTTTGATAGAATAAATCAGAACCAATTTTGCAATACCATTTGTCTATTGTAAGATACTAGATGTTGTACCACACATGCTAGAATGTCGTATTCCACATGTGTCCTTTCGACACCAGAAATAGTATTAACATTCTCCATATTATTTTACATAATGTAGTCAGTCAATCCAAAAAGACCAACAAATTATAGGGGGTTAAACTAGGAAACTAGAAAATATCATAATACGATGTAAGAAAACCGCCGTCAAAATAGCAAAGTTCTATAATATAATATAATATAATATCGAATACGAAGAAGCATATTGGAACTCATCTCTAGTATGTTATGTTCTAGGTGCAAATCCTCCATTATCTATGTTTAAAGGGATTGTCAGAAGAATCTGGAAAGGGAAAGGAGCAGACAAGGTTGAAGTGTTAGCATATGGAGTCTTCATTGTTAGATTTACATCCATACAGGAACGTGATAATGTCTTGAATAATGGATATGTGTTCTTTGATAAAAAACCAATTGTCATGAAGCCATAGGATCCGACTACTGATTTCAAGAAGGAGAATATCCACTCAATCCCGATATGGGTGAAGCTTGAAGGTATGGATTTAAAGTACTGGGGCAAAAGATCTTTGCTCAAGATAATAGAACAGGTGGGTAATCCATTCATGATGGATAATGCGACAAAGAAGCTTATAGATCTTTTTTGTCCCAAAAAGCCAAGATGGACTGGATTAGAGATGGTGATCAGAACACAGCTCCTTTTCACTCAAGCATCAAGTATAGGAATAACATCAACAAAATTAGCTCCATTAACAACAGTAGAGATGGCTTGTATTGTACCGTTGTTCTTGATATCAATATATTCAATTCTCAATGTATTAGTTTTATTAATTTATTAAACATTAAATTGGAGAATGAAAAGTTGAGTAAACTAGCTACTACGTCGCAATAATTCAGCAATAGCTGCTGATATAGTTGCTACATTTTCCATATCCTTGTTATCATCACTAACAGGTGTACGCATATCCTTCGATATTCTTCCAACAAAGTTATCCTCACATTGATTAGCTTTCCTCACAACATCATTTGCAGCATCTATCGCAGCTTCAGGATCTCCTGCTGGCAAAGTTTCAAGGGCTCTTCTAGCATTAGATGTTGCAATTTCTTTGTATATAGTAGCACATATCTCAAGTGACTTATATTCACGAGTGCCAGGACGGATATTATTCCCTGCAAGAAGTTTATCGATTTTGATTATCGTAGTTGTTGCTTTGTCTCTCATTATGTTGAACATGATTAGTGCAAACTCATGGACATCTGCATTAGGGCTTCTAGGACTTGACTCTAGATACTGAATGCAAAGGGTTTTGTTTGGAGTCTGGTTGCAAGTTTTTTCTAATGAGTTTTCACCATTGTTTGGTTGGATAGTGGACAAGAAGAGAATCAATAATGCTAATGGTTTCAACATTGTGTGACTATTACACTGTAGAAAAAAGAAGAGAAAAAACAATATAACACTAGTTTGCAAGATCAAGAGGAGGTGAATGGAATGGGTTCTTACTAAGAACCACTTTTATATTGCATTATTATAACTAGTTTGAAATTATGTATTCATTTTAGTCAACTTTTTTTCATAATTTATTAGTAAATATATTGATTAAAAATAGACAGATTATATTTTTAGTAAAAAAGAATTGACTGATTATAAGTTGATCTTCTTTTATTCTTAATTTATTAAATAAAAGTAAAAGTTATTTAATTTGTGTTTATTAACATTCTTAGGAAAGAAAAAGAAAAGAAAAGTAATTGTATCTTAGAATTTTAAAAGAATCAAAACTTTGGAAAAAGAAATTAAATGGAACAAAGTTTGGAACAAAAAATATTATTGTTGAGAAAGCGTTTGATTTAATTTATTGGAATTTTCTGAATTATATTATGTTTGGGTTCAATAGTAAATAGAGATCTTAGGCTTATAAAAAAAAAATAGAGATCTTGGATGTATGCTTTTGTTTTCTTTAAAAATCATGTGGGATTTTGGTATATGGTTATTTAACTCAAGAGATCGACATTAAAAGAGGTTTGAAGTAAGGTGACTCTTGTAACAACTCGAATTTAATTAATTAATTAATTAAATTAAATAAAGATTAATTATTTAATTTTGATGAAGTTTGGTAATTAATCAGATCATCGGTATCGTTTGAGAAGTGTTATCGGATTATTAAGTAGAGTTGAATTTTATTTGGTTAATCGGAGATTTAATGCGAGTCAGTTACCGGAGTAATAATATTAGAAATAATATTATTATTGGAATTTGACCATTTGAGATAAAGTCGGATTTAATCGGTTTGATCGGGAAATAGGATTCGATATAATAATATTTGTCTTGATAAATTATATTTACTTAATCGGTAGTATTTACTTGATCCGGTATATGATTTCCAATAGTTTTAATTAATATTATCTATATTATTATTTTCTAAAAATGACTGATTGATATTTATTTTGGTCAATCAATATTTATTTAGTCGGTTATTCAGTCTGATAGTTGATTATTTTAGTTTATTTGATTTATCAGAAAATAATTATTTTATATGATAATATTGTATTTTAGTGTGTATTAATTAATTAATTGATGATAATTGACTTATTAAAATATTTATTTAATTTTATTAAAATTAATTTAATTAAATAATATGAATTAATTTTATTATATAAATAATATAAGTATATAGGTTAGCAGTACGTTAATTTTATGTATATATAATATAAGTTACAGTACGTTAGTTAGTTATATATATATATATATATATATATATATATATATATATATATATATATATATATATATATATATATATATATATATATATATATATATATATATATATTAGTTTTATATTATATGTTAGTTTTATAATGTAATAATATATTTTAGTTTTATAATATATAATAAGTAAATAGTATATTAGTAGTGTGGGATAGTTAGAAAGAGAGGGGGGAAAATTAGAAACTTGAGAAATAGAGAGAAGTGAAATAGAGAGGAGGAGAAGAAGAAGAGAAAAGGGGGGAAAAGTTAGGATTGAAGGAAAGAGGAGAAATTTCTGGAATCAAACTAAGAGCTTGTTCCGGAGATTAATCGGTAAGAGTTAGAATTTTTTTAAATATCTAGTATATTTTTATTGTATTTGATTTCGGTTTTTTTTCGGTTTAGGCGGTAAAATTAGTTATCCATAAATTAATGAAATTTGACGGGGTAACTAAGTTAAACGCGTAGGTAATTATGGTTGAGTTATTTTTTGAGATTGCGACATTTTCGGAGACCGATTGAAACTGTATTTTTCGAATTAGCCGGTTTAGACGGTAAAATTAGTTATCCGAAAATTAATGAAATTTGATGGGGTAACTAAGTTAAACGCGTAGGTAATTATGGTGGAGTTATTTTTTGAGATCGGAAAATGATAAAAGAGAAATGAAGAATGTTATTATAGTATTTATTTAATTATATTAAATTAATTTAATAAAATATTAATTTTCATTATATATATATAAATTTCTAAGTAACCTACTGTTAGTTTTATATTATACATATAAGTAAAATAATTTAGTTAATATATTAATATATATTATAATTAACAGTGTGATTAATTATATAATTAGTTACGGTTTACCGATAAAACTTAATATTTTGGATTCGACCGGAGAGGAATTAAATTGTAGACGTGTGGTATATTAGAATTGTATTGAGAAAAATACCGATTCCGGAAATAACATGTTCGGTTTATAAATGTTATGTTGTTGTGTGATTAATTAATATAATCGGTTGCGATTAATGGGTAAAACTTAATATTTTGAGTTCGACCGGAGATTAATTAAATTGTAGGTGTGTTGTATTTTTGAGATATTTGGTTAATTTCTGATTCCGGAAATGATGTGTTTGATTTATAAATATTTTGGTGTTGTGTGATAATTGTTGAAATGAAATAAATGATGTTTGTTGTGCAATATTGTGAGATTAATTCATAGGGTTGAATTATGGTGATGTATGCTTGTAATTGAGATAGAGGGGTGTCTTGATTTGCATAATTGTTGTTGTTGAATTGCACACCGCATCATAAGTCGTGTCAAGAGGCGATGTCCGTTAGTCTCGTGGAGGCTAGTGGCTCGTCCCAAACTCAGAGTGGGGGTTTGAAAGCTTAGGCAATGGGCTTTGTGATTATCCGTCTGAGGGATAGACAATCGGTAAATCCGAAGGATAATAAATGATTGGTACCACATGCATGAGTCGTGTCGTTGTGTCGAGTCGCACATACACACTTTGTTAAGTTGGTGTTTTATTGAATATTATGCATTATGTGTTAATTGGTAAATGAAATTGATTGTGTTTGATTTCTTTGAGTTGTTGAATATGGGAATTGGATTAAATGAATATATTATGTGGTTTATGCAAGAGCTGGAAAAAGAGTAAGATTCCTTTATTTAATGCCTTTCATTTGCTTTAAATTACATACCTTATGTTTGTTGGAATTCTTACCCTTCTGTTGGAAAATGCTTGCTACGGCATTGTTCAGGTATCGAAGACGGTAGTGCGAGGCACTAGCTTAGCAGATGCATTTAGATTGTAATCCGTTTTATTTTAGTTTATCGAGTCGATGTTCTGGTTGTAACACTTGAGGGTTAGGTGTCCGTATTCGAACTCGTATATTTTGTATATGAATTATACTTGTATATAATCCATTGTTTTGATTATATGTTGATGTATGTATATTATGACTTGATAACATGTTTGGTGTATGAGCCGTGTGGCTCAATGCCTTGAATTTTATATTTTGATTCCTCCTTTGGAGATGAAGTTATTATGATTATGTTGCGTTTGCACGAAAAAGAAAGTATATGCCATGAATGTATTATGTGATTAAATGATTAAAGTGACGAATATGTCATGTCTGTTTTTCTTGAATATGTGAATTGATGTTGTGACACTCCTTCCGTGCAAATTTTATTTTCTCTGATTTTAATTATATCGTTTAATTTGGGGTTTATTAGAAGGGGTGTTACAACTCTTTAGTTCTTTTTCTTTTTTTATGCGTATGAGAGAAGGTTTGAGTGATCTGTTTTCTAGTGAAAAGGATTTAGATATTTTTTTAGTTTAGAGCGATGTTTTAAAAATTGGATTGAATCGGTTGATCGAATCGATCGAATTGAGAATCGAAGGGGTTACTAGTGGGATTTGATTGATGGACCAGATATAGTATTAAGTCAGTAGGAATCAGCCAAAACCAATCAAAATCGAAGAATCGACAATTTTAAAAAATCACTAGATCAAATGCATGTTTTTATTCTCGACCATTTTTTATCATTTCAAGTATGGAATGACCAGTGAACGAAAATTTGCATTTGAGATGATTTCATAACATTTGATCCCTTTTTAATTTTACACTTTGTCAATTTTTGCATGATAAAACAAGGTATAGCACCTTTCACATTCAGCATCACGAATCTTAATAACTAAAACCACAAAAATTAGAATCGTAAAATGGATCATGCAATTTAGCAAAGACTCAACATAAATAATTTCAAAATAAGGTTCTCCTTTATAAAACTCAGTACTTGACTCTAAGACCGAATAACTCAGAAGACCAATCACATTGTTAACCTATGGTGGCCTCATAAGCTATCTCTGTAGATTGACCAAACAAAAGAAATGTTAGCATCTAGCATGATTCGAATCTAAAACCTTGAGAGGAACATAGTCTCAGATCCCAAACCTTCCAATAAAATGAAGGGGGGAAATTGAAAATTTTAAATGGATGAGTTGCCTCATAACAAATACTTATTTAACGTTAGTAGCTTGACATCGTTCGAATGAAAATTCACGATGGATCATTATACATAGCTAGACCAAGTAGGTTGTGTTTGACATTTTTTTGTCTTTTTTTGGTCATTTGTTTGGTTGATGGCACATAACCTACAATGTGAATGTCCATTGTCCTTCCATGGCTTCTATACGTCGTAGTTGAATGTGGATTTCCTATGTATTACCTTTTTATTTCATCTTTTTTAGGATTACGTTTTCCTTCTGCTGCAACTGTCTAAAAATAGGTGTTTGTGTGCTTTTGGTAGTTGTTTTGAGAGTTCCTCTATATTTTACATTAACAGCTTATTCTGAGCAAACATTGCATAAATTAGTTTTAATTTTTCGGGTCTTTTTGTTAGGCTTGGGCTCCCTTCCTATGTGGAGAAAGACCCAAATATGAATAATCCATTTGTTTCACTTAAATAAGTGAAAAGTGTCAATTTAGGGTTAAGAGAAATAGAGAGAAAATAAGGATTCAAAAGAGAGAAAAGATGAGAGAAACTCATTCTTGTTTTTTCTGCAGTAGTCTCACTAAATCAACGATTCCTGATTCGTTCACCGTCAGATCAAGATGAAATTTAGAGGGTTGGTTCGCAGCGCCTATTATTTAAATT